CTGGCTTATCACCGGGGGGCTCCTGATTGCTCCCCCTGCCTGTAAGAGAGTATCCTCTTGCCAAGGTAGTTTCCATGGTTTGCTCATCAGCTGTTGAAGAACCGGAAACCACAGAGCACCAGTGGATTCTGGAGCAATCAGAATCACCCTCAATTGTTCCTCTGGGACCTGCTCCAGCAGCTGCGTTATTAGCGGGGCTGGAGGAAAAGCATAGAGCAACATTTGAGGCCACGGATTGTATGCAAATGCATTCACCCCCAGCAGCCCATTGAGAAAAACATTTCGCAATGAGTGTTTTCTCCACATCCGCTTTCCCGAAACTGCTTCATATCTGGAGGATCAGGTCTGGGTTGAGGCTCCAATCTTTGTCTCGGGGGCCACCCTTGGACATAATATCTGCTCCTCTGTTTAGCACGCCTGGGATGTAAACTGCTCTGATGGAGTTAAGATGTGTGTGCGTCCAGCAGAGCAGCTCTCTGGCTGTGTCCAGCAACTGAGCTGCGCAAACGTCCCCTTGGCGATTTATGTAAGCTGCTGTGTTTCTGTTGTCTGTGTGGACCAACATGTGATGACCCCGCAGCTGTGGGGCAAAGTGTCTGATCACTTTCTCCATGGTAATCCATTCCAGCACATTTATGTGGAGAGATGTGTGGGGTTGCCATCCCCCCCCCCCCCCACTACCACCACCTCTGGGACAGACACGCCCCTCCCCCCATCCTGAGAGGGACATGTCTGTGAACACAGAAATGAATGATGTCACTCTGCCCAAGGGAATCCCTCTCAACAGGTTCTGGGGGTTTCTCCAGTGACTCAGGTACGCCCCTACCGACAGGGAACGGTAATCACTCAGAATTTGTGACGAGAGAGGTCTAGGTGCTGGGGATTGAAACATCTCTGTAGTTTTCTCATATGGAGTGAACCTAGTGGAACGACAACCTGAGTCACTGACATGGCATTGGCAGCACAACCGTTCAGTGGTTAGCACTGTTGCCTCACAGCAAAAAGGTCCTGGGTTAAATCCCCGGTTTGACCTGGGGTCTTTCTGAGTAGAGTTTGCTTGTTCTTCTCGTGCTTGGGTGGGTTTTCTCTGGGTACTCCAGTTTCCTCCCACAGACCAAAAACATGCATGTTAGGCTGCCTTGCAAAATAGAGCTATGATCTCAGTGGGATTTGCCTTGTTAAATAAAGGTTAATAAATAAATAAATAAATCATCCCTATAATCAGCAGACGTATGACTGTTAATGCCGTCACCGGCTTGTGAACCCTGACTTTTCGAAGCAATGACGTCAGGGATTCCCTCCTCTGGTGTGACAGGAGGGCTGTCATGGTGACCAAATTTAGATCCACCCCCAGAAAAATGTTGAGCTGAGAGGGAACCGTCAAGCTTTTCTCCTAGTTTATTGTGAAACCCAGGTGAGATAGATGCAACACCAGAGCAGTCGTCTGGATTTCCGCTTCTTCCCTGGAGTGAGTCAGGAGGAGAAGGTCGTCCAGATATAAGAGAACCCTCAAGCCTGCTGTGCACAATGGTTTTAATGCCATTTCCACGCATTTTGAAAATGTACAAAGTACATGGGACGAGCAAGCAACCACAAAGGAGTCGGTTGTATTGATACCGAACTCCTTGGACAGAAAGATACAGAAATTTCCTGCATTTCTTTATTATTGTTATATGAAAGTAGGCATCTTTCAAATCCATTGAGACAAACCAATCCCTCTGCCTGATGCATACGAGCACTCGTTTTATTGTCAACATATGAAATGGCCGTTCCATAACGTTTTTGTTGAAAAAGGACAGGTCTAGAATAGGCCTCGAACCTCCTGTCTTTGTCAGAACCAGGAAGTACCGGGAGTAAAAACTGGTTTCTTCCTTTTCAAGAGGGACTTCGGAAATCATGTCTTTTATCAGAAGCTCTTCCAAACTCTGTTCGTAAAATCAAACCCTGTTCCGAGGATGTTAACCAGGTTTCTAACACTTGTTTGAACCTCGGGGGTGCTCCTGCAAACTGTAATGTGTAGCCCCTGTCCACTCTGAGTAGAATGGTAAATTTTAAACAAACGTTTAAAAGACACCAATCCTCCACTCATAAACAAAAACCATATGAGTCCATGGTGAGAGCGAGCACTTCACGTGTGAACTTTTTTCCTCCTTTTTCCCCTCCTTCAGTCTCCTCTTGAGCGTTGCCCAAATCATGGCGCGAGCAGCGCATGGGATGCTAACGCTAGTATAAACACATGGTTGCTGCAGCTGTCTGTGACATGCACTGATATTCTGTCAGTGAATCTAGCTGAGAGCTGGTCGATGGGGAAAAGGGTGGACGACAGTCGTTCGACATGCCGAAACACTCTGACCCCGGAAAAATTAGCCGACAGGCTGGGCTCTAGAGGGGAAACAGGCATTTTCATATTAGCGGTTGGGAGGCTGCACCCAACATTACACAGACACTCTAAAAACGAGGACAAGCTGAGTCTCGGTGGCTAGAGAGCGAGGCGGCTAGATGTCCCACCGAGTCTAGGCCGAAGCTAATGGCTCTGGCACAGCTAGGTCTAGCGTTAGCCACTCCTGAATGTTGGGCAGAACACATATGAGCGTACCAAAATGTTGGGAGGGTGAAAACAACCTTTCAGCAGCAGCCCTGTCTCCAGCCTTCTAACTGAGAGGGGGGGAGTGAGGCTGCTCACTAACTCTTAGTTGGAGGTAGAAATATCTGAGACCTGCCTAGCTCTGAAAGAAAAAACGAGAGCCTACCTGCATGTTCTGCTCCGAGGCAGATGTGCAGGCTGAGCCATTCGGAACTGCGGACATATCACGTCCGCTAACATCTTCTTCTTAGTTTTCCATGTGTTGCTTCGCTGGCTGAAGAAAATGGGGAGCAGATCTACGGACACGTATGCTATTTATACGGTCTAGGGGTGGAGCCCACACCATGGGTGGGCATGGACTAGAGTTTTTTCAGTGTTGGCGTGCTGCGCGCGGGTTGAGACCCAACAGTACGGCTTAAAGGGCAAACTCATATGAAATAAAACTTTTCAAACCTAACCTAAAATTGTTGCACTGTTAAGCATAATTTTTGCAAACCATGTCAAAAATATCTTGTTTCCTCTCTTTCAGTTTAATACTAATCAAAGGAAGTATATTAAACATCAGTTATACCAAAAGCCCTTACAGAAAGTTGTAAAGTTACTGCAGAGTAATTAAGACACATTTAAAAAGTGATTTTTTTTTCTTTTTGAGTTTCACAAAAGAAATTGTAGCCTACTATGGATTAGGTTGAACTTTAAACCTCTACAGATATGTTCAAATAATTCTTTAAATATGAACTGAAACAAGCTAATGCACAGGTAATAGCTAAGAAACATTTAAAAATATACCCCCAAAAGTTCAATCTGGTCCTTTGGACATTCAAAAAAAAAAAACAAAGCAAAACAATGTAGATACGTTATTGAGGATTATTGAGCATGCATCAGAATATTTAAAAATATACATTTTCTTGTCTTTTCAGCAGGAGTGATGGTGGCCTGCAGCCCTCTGACCTTCTGAGTGGCCCCAGTCATACGGGACAGGAATGATTTACTTGGCTCACACAGCCCACTGGCAGTTCCTGGGACTAATATTTGGGTTCCTGGCATGGATCTTTACAATGGTTACAGCTGGCATCAACAAGTGGCGGCTTTGGCGTGTAGCTGATGTATCCATCATCACCTCAGGTGAGGCCTGGGTGGGCATCTGGAGGGCATGCTTCTACAGCCACGTCTTCCCCAGGGCTGAGAACTGTCATTCCCTCAGCATCTCGGACCCCTTTGTTCCAGTGGAGATCCCGGTTGCTCAGGTTCTAATGGTGGGGGCGATGATCTCTGGCCTGGCAGGGAACATCTTTGCTGCAATAGCCATGAGGATTGCCTATTTCTCAGTGGAAGATCGTAAGAACATCAGGATGGTGTTTGTCATGGCGGGTGTTCTTTATCTGCTTACAGCAACATTCTTGTTGGTTTCTCTGGTGTGGAACATGAGCTCTGTTCTGAACAACAGTACCATAGACTTTCCACAAGAATTTCACCTCCCTGCCGCTCCTGTCAGCCAGAGAGTTGGTCCGGCCATAGGTATGGGTGTCTTTGCCTCCATTTTGTTGATCATAAGTGGTGGCCTCTTCCTCTGCTATCGGTATGTGCGACAGGCCCCGGAGCCATCCAGGGACCCGCTCGATGGGCCTTGGACTGTAATGACACTGACAAAGATGGCTGCATTGTACAAAGAAGACAGCCACGGAAAGGATAACCCTGCATTACACTGCGAAGACATTTCATGATGGTTTCACATGAATATTTTTAATATATAACCGTCCCCTTAGAAAAAGACAAATAAAAGCATATGTTTTAATCAACTTCATTATCAGAAGTTTTCAGTGAATGATAAGTTTTCTGACCAGAAAATCATCCAGAATACTAGTTTATATCATGAAATGTAAAAAAATGAAAAACTGTTTTTAAAGATGGACAATTATGAACTTTATGGTACATCAAAAGTACAGATAATTACTGCTTAAAATATCATTTGATCATATCAAATAAAACTAACTGAAAATCAGTATTTTTGTTGTCACAAAATAGATCTTGCTCACAAGGGGCCTGCAGGCTCATCAGTACAATCATATTGATTTTTACTGTTAAATGTGAATTTAACAGTAAATTTATCAGAAATTTTGAAGTGTGGTTATGTGGAAGGGTTAAGAATAATTAATGTTACCTTTGTAGATTACTTTCTAAGAAAATTCATTTTTGAGAAATGGAGAATAAGTCTGATCTGACAGGACTGAGCATCCATCGTCTATCCATCAATCAGTCAATCAATCAATCATCTTTACCCGCTTCTCATTTCCAGGTTGTGGTTGTTATTCATGTTATACACCCTGGACAGATCACTAGTTCATCACAGGATGCTAGGTTGCACCCTATTGTTAATCATTTTCAATTTACATATATCTTGTCAGGAGTTATGATGTTATAGCTGATTGTTGTTTATCATAGTTTCTAACAATTCGTAGTTACACAACTCATAGAAACCTCTGTGAGGGTTCTGCTGGACCCTATCTTTACTTCAAACATCCTGACATAGAAGTGGTATTCATGTTCACATTTTGTGCTGCAAATGCTGCGTTTGACTGTAAAACTGTAAATATAATTCACACAAGACCTTTCAGCAAGCTTTTTATGTAAATGTTTCATAAGTTCATGTATCCCATTAAAGCTGAGCTGGACTGAAGGTCATCACTGATTGTCATCCACTGATGTAACAAACTTTATTCCTGTAGTGTTATGAAAGGTGTACCGTCAGCAGAAATCCTTTTGAGCCTTTATGGCTCTTTGATGACTGCTCAGAGTTCTCACTGCACAGAACCAGGCGGGGGGTGATAAACACACCAAGGTGTGGGTTTGTGACGGGGTCCACGTCTAGGGGGGCATGAGACAGTCAGGTTGACGTTGGGCTCTACTCATGTAACCTGAGGCTGACGAGAGGCATGTGAGTTTAGAGAGGGAGCTTCTTCGTAATTGTTGCCATGGAAAGTACACACACACACACACACACACACACACACACTGATCCAGTGGTTTACTGTACTGCATTTTTCTGGAGATGGCTCACTCATGAAGAACAATAACCCCTCTTCACTTCAGGCTTCCGTATAAAACACATCTCAGGAGAGACGGCCGGTAGAACGGAGGCGGTCGCTGCAGAAACCCTCAGCTTGAAACAGAATCACTCACTTTAGCACCAGCATTCCTTTCATGCATGAGTTTTAAACTAAAACCAGCTGGTGATGAGAAGGCACAGAGTTGTTGCAGTCTTGGTCAAACCTTGCTCATGTTTTTTGCACAATCCCATGCAGTTTGGTTGTTTTCTGTTTGTTTTGATGATTTATTTGTGGCAGCCATCTTGAATTGGGTTGACTTCAAAAGCTTACCAGATATAAATGTACTTCTACTGGTTACTATCTGAGAATTTGATCAAAATCTAGTGAATGAGGTGATTTGCTAACAGACAAACAGGGTTGATTGCAAAAATTATTATTTTAAGCCTAAATATTGTGCAGTATGTAGCGCTCAAAGTTTGAGTTGGGCATCGTGCTCAGATGCTCCCGCACCAAATTATAGCTCATTAGCTGTAAAAGTGTCTGAGTTGGAGCCATTTATATATTCCATAAGCTCAGTTGGCTGTGGTGGCCATCTTGGATTGACTCCAAAAGTCAAGCAGTTGTAGATGTAAATCTAATATTTATTTTATGAAAGTTTTATTAAAATGTATCCAGTAGTTCATGAAATAATTTGCTAAATGTACAGACAAACACACACATACACAAGCCTCTTTTTTTACCTGTGGTAAACAAAATTATCATAATTCAAGTGAACATGGCTAAATATTTTTTGACGTGTTTCTTGGGATAAGAGATTTGGTGAAAGTAGCTTGAAGTAAATATATAACCACCACTTTTTTCTTGACATGCTCCTCTGTTCCACCACTTCTCCTCTGCAGATAAGATTAACATAAGCCTCAGTTTGTCCAAGATTATCTAATCTAATCTAACGCTAAGTCATCAACTCTGTTGATTATAACGTGTAGGAGAAACAATAAAAAGACAAAAAATAAAGATCCAAATGTTTTAAATTGCTGCGTGTAGCATTTTACAAACACACGAGCAAAGCTAGGGGACAGATTAGCTCAAGTGGTTAGTTGAGCTAAACAAAGTTAAAGGAAGAAGTTTGATGAGCTCAAATTGATCTATTTTAAAGATTACTGCCGTCATTCTTTTCAAGATCAGATAAGAGTCACTGTTCTGTGCCATGTTTATGTGTGGACATTTGTGGAAAACAACCTGTTATTCTACAGGTTTAAAGTTTTTCTTTAAAAAGGAACATGTCTGATTTTACAATAAGAACCAGTAATGGGTGGCTGTGTCTGAGTGGTTAGAGCAGCCGTCCTGCAATTCAAGAGTTGGCATTTCGATTCCACCAGCAGTCACATGTTAAAGTGTCCCTGGGCAAGACACTGAAGCCCTTGTTGCCTCCGATGTGTGTCCCATCAGTGTCTGAATGTGATAAAGCTCTGGTTATTGTTTGTATAGATCTTGTAGAGTAAGGGTGCGAATCTCTGTGTCTGGTGATTCGATTCCAATTTTTGGTGTCACGATTCGATTCAGAAATGATTTTTCTATTGAAACGGTCATAAATTTTGTTTCAGTTATGTAACTGACAAGATGAAAAGAATAAACAACAATGTAAACAAATAAAACATTTATTTAAAACAATCATTTTATGTTCTTTACTTTATCAAATCTTTTTACATCATTTTATATTTATACCAAAAATAGGAGCAAATACAGGAGTGCATAACATTCTGTAACTTATCCAAAAAAGTTCAATCTGGTCCTCTGGACAGTCAAAAAAAACAAAAAACAAAGCAAATCAACAAAAAAATGTAGAAACGTTTCGTCTCTCATCCGAGAGACTTCCTCAGTCTGAGGTGCTGTATTCAGCTCAGTCTCTTAAATAGCACCTTCTCAGAGTGGATCAACCAGTTTTGCTGCTGACAACCAAAACCAGTCAGAAACTGGTTGATCCACTCTGAGAAGGTGCTATTTAAGAGACTGAGCTGAATACAGCTCCTCAGACTGAGGAAGTCCTCAGGATGAGAGACGAAACGTTTCTACATTTTTTTGTTGATTTGCTTTGTTTTTGGTTTTTTTTTGACTGTCCAGAGGACCAGATTTAACTTTTTTAGATTTTTCTACCTGGATTATTGAGCATGCATCAGGACAGTTTATTATTGTTACTGTTATTATTTAGCGCATTTAGCATGTTATACTCCAGTGCCACGCGCATGAGTGAAATACAAACACGCCTGTACTGCGCATGTGAAACTTCACACTTTCGGCATTTCACACCTCCGCGGGGGGTTCCCCGAAAATCTCCACTCTGAGACCTGGGTTAAAAAAAAAACTCTGGATAGAGCTTTAGAGCGTGACGTCACTTGTCCATGGCACGGCGACTGATGGGAAAGGATGGGGCCGGATCCACCATTTTTATAGTCCTCCATATTAACTGTCGAAAACAAGCGTTCTTGCTGACTTTAAAAAAAAAAAAAAATCTAAGTAGGTTAAAACAGTTTAGCGATGGTCCGAAATTGCTGCATTA